AGTATGTCATTATGTAAGAATGTTAACAGTCTGTAATATTTTTTAGTATATCACTAGCGTGGTGTAGAACAAAATTATCTATGTAGTAATACTGCTTGCAAATTCATGCATTGTAATCCTATTGGTCATTGATGGTAAGATGATGTTAGGGGGTAGGACTAGATAAGTCTGACTTCTTCCTACTCCGTTCAAGCATGTACTAGGTATAAGCAAATTGATAATGCATTTGTGGATATGTGTGAAATTGTGTGTGTTGACATACTGACTGTCTTTACATGTTTGAAAGAATAAATCAAATCAAATCAAATCAAAACTAAAAGGAACTACAGGTATGAGAAGTAACTAAAGCTTATAAAGTAACTAGAGTCTATAAGACTCAAATCTTACAGGGAGCTCCGGTTCACACCAAAGGGACAATAGGATCTAAAGCTGTTGAATTTTGTACCTCTGTCCAGGGCGGAGCAGCCCAAGAAGATAAAATGCATTGTAAAACATGATTCGGGATTCAGAAGTTGGTCTTCCTGCGGGAGCGCTGACTCTCTGAATCCAGCGCTGTAAGACTTGCCTGTAATCAGACTTTCAGTAAACTTTCTGTTGATTTTAAACAGTTCTCTCCTGTCGTCACTTCTTGTGCTTCCAACAAAAGAATTGGGTTAATTTCTAACACATCTTTAAAGCAAAAAGTTTGATGTTGTCAAAATACAGATTCAGTGACATAGTGGCAACACATAGGACCAGATTTTTTTTTTACACTGCTTTTTACTGAAACTGCCTAAAGGTACCCTATCATAAATTTATTATTGTTTAATATGTCACTTCAGTGGTCCCTACTACATTTTGATTGTCATAATAATTACAGTCATAAAATACATAATCCAGTGTAATACAGAAACACTAAGCTATAACTGTGTTGCACTGATAATGATAGCAAGCAGAATATTGAATATCCTGGTTGAATTTGGTGCATAAACCCTATTTAGAGGTAGGTAAACTCTATATGTCATAAACAAGAGAGGTGTGTAAAACACATTTAGTTGCATTTAGCTTCAGTCTTGCTCAGATACCCCCACCCCAGACAAACCTCATCCCCCACACTTTTAAAAAGCTTGATACGCCCCTGGGCCAGCCTAAGGCACACCTGTGCACTGTACTAGGTACAAGCAAATTGATAATGCATTTGTGGATATGTGTGAAATTATGTGTGTTGACATATTGACTGTCTTTACATGTTTGAAAGAATAAATCAAATCAAATCAAATCAAATAATCATACTGTCTAATCAGCATCTTGATATGCCACACCTGTGAGGTGGACGGATTATCTCAGCAAAGGAGAAGTGCTCACTAACACAGATTTAGACAGATTTGTGAACAGTATTTGAGAAATAGGCCTTTTGTGTAAATAGAACAAGTCATAGATCTTTGAGTTCAGCTCATGAAAAATGGGGGCAAACACAAAATTTTGTTCAGTGTACATGAAAATTGCTGTGGGAAGTGGGTCACACCACCAACAGTAAATTACTGATGTGTATCTGTTCTGATAATTTAAAAAATAACAACGTGAAAAAAAGACACTGGTCCACAGACACAAATTTAAAATAATGAATCTGAAATTTATTACAACAACATTTGGTTCATGGCTCAGTTACAAAGTTTCCGAACAAATATATCAATTAATTTATATATTTGGCACTTATTCTCAAAATAGCAGAAATGATTTTTGACTGTGATGTCACAACTGAAGTCCCCAGTTGCTCAAAGTATAAAATGTCTGAACTAAAAATACCTACCAGCTCTACAGCATCAGTCTATAGCTGACCCTGACTTCTGACCTCCCTGTGGCGTAAGCATGTGAAGACCATCATTACTGAGTCATGTAAATGCAAAAAAACCCATTATTAATGTAGTGTAATCACTGTAAGTCACATGATCAGTCTTTTTCATTTGTGCACCTCAGCTGTTGAGCACCAATAACAGTGAAGTTTTCTAGTGATGTCACAATGGTGATAAATGTGGTGGTTGAGCCACATGGCTCTGAAACAAAGTTATCCGATCCAGCAGTGTGAGTGGTATATCTCTGATGACAGAGGGCAGGTCTTCGTGCTGTAACGGATAGATGACCACACTCAGGGCTGGACGCTTGGCTGAAAATCTAAAAGAGAGAAAGAGACAAAAGAGGATGAATATGAGATTTCTTTCACCGTTAAATGTTTGATGTATTGCATGTCTATATACACAAACACTGACCTGTCCAGCAGTGTTTTCTGCAATGTGCGACAAGCCACCAAAGTGCCACCCATGAACATGTGGCACATGATAACGTGGCAGCATCGCTCCATGAAGGCTTCTGTGGCCGACGGGTCAAAGGTGCCGCTGCGTGAAATAAGGCAGAGACGCTGCAGATGAGAGCAGCAGGACAGGGCGTCAAAGAATGATGCACCGGCATTCAGGTAGGGCTGCTCTAACCTAAGAAAGTGACACACAATAAAAAAAAATTATACAAATTAAAAGATAATAGATTTTTTTCTAAAATAACTGCTGCATTGCCTCATATTGTAGTGAGTTTAAGGCACCACGTATCATGACAAAAACTGAAAAAAACTACATAGTAAGTCCTGACTATATGGTTTGCAGGTTCCCATAATTACCTAAATACAACAACTTGCTAATGTTAAATGATAAAAAATTGGTGAGAATATGTTAATAGGTTTATAATTCCTCAACAACAACAACAAAATTACAAAATTTGTCTTGCATCATAGTAAAAGAGATGTTTATAAGAAAAAGATCCACCAAACAAAAACTACTCGGAGATAATGGCTGGATTCTTGACATTCCTCCAAAGTTAGCCAGGCATTTGATTTTTCTGAATCTACTTAATACTCAGCAGAGAAAAACTTATATTAGGATAAAATTATTAATTCAAATAATCAATTAAATATTAGAATTAATTAATAATACATGCTTCATTTGAAAAGAAGGAAAAACTGTTTGCTACAATGTCATATAATAGTATTTATGAATCTAGAATCCATCTGATGGTTAGTGCTTATTACTGTGGGGTTTTATTTATTATTAATTACCTCCACCAAAGGCGAGGGCTGTGATTACTCAAAAAGTAATGAATGGATTTTGATAAACACGGGTCAAAAGGAGGGCGGAGAGGATCACTGCAGACCTCTCACACCCCGGATACAATCTGTTTGAACTCCTCCCCTCTGGACGGCGTTACAGGTCACTGTGCACTAAGACAACCAGGCACAGGGACAGTTTCTTCCCTCAGGCCATCACTCTGATCAACACTTAACCCACGACAGTATGATTAGACAATAACCCTCAGTGCAATACCGGTGTATATATACATTGTACAGATTATACAGACTCATACAGGTCTCTAGCTTTAAATACTCTGTTTTTATGCCTATTTATCTCATTTAAATGAACATTCCTTTGTTGTCTGCATTGTTTACTGTCTGTTTATACTGCTTTTTCTGCATTGTTTGCACTGTTTGTTGATGTTAATACTGCTATTTTGTTATATTACACAGCCTTATGCTGGTTTACTGTTTTGCACATTGAGAGCCGATGTACCTGAGTCAAATTCCTCGTGTGTCCAACACACCTGGCCAATAAAGCTAATTCTGATTCTGAAACATTTTTCGGAGAAGTAGGGCATGGCCCACGGAACAATTGCATACATTTTGGTGCTGTTCTGTATTTTCCCTAGTTTCTGTTTACACACACACTCTCAGCTGGGCAGAGGGAGAGCACAGGACATGAGGTATCAGTCCATATTGCATCAATCAGCCAGTAGTGGAGACTGTATGAGCAGAAATGCGACGTCTTCACCACTTTGCCCGTGGTTGACTCACCAAGGTCCTCATTTTACCCCTAAACCAATGAGTGAATGTCTGTTGTGTCTACCGTTTGTCTTGAATAACTTTCAAACTCAATGATATCAGCGTCATTCCAAATGCAGCAGTAGGTTTTCATGGTCACGAAATCATATTATGAGGGTCAAACTATCATGGGAATATTGTTTTTAGATGTAGTGGTAACTGAGTTGCCCTTAATGGAGGTATGCATTTGTTGAGCACTGTCAAATTATACATTGTAAATGAACGGTGCACAAAGCCATTCTCTCACCTGAGTTCCTGTAGCTGTGGGCACTGTTTTAGTGTGTCCAGCAAGGCAGGAGTGTAGTTCATGGTTTTTAGTGATCCCATATTGGCAAGGGATAACATTTGCAGGTCTTTGCACTTCCTGGCCAGCTGTACCAGCCCCGTCCCCCTTAAGACCCCAGGAAGCCCAGCCAGGGTCAAACGATGTAATCGAGGCAAAGCCTCAAGAGCAGCTATGTGCATATCACCAACTCCTCGAGCCCACACACACATACCACGAGGTTCCACGCTGGCACGAGTGCAAGGCTCAAGCCGAGGCAAACCAGAGACAAAACCAGGGCCAATGATCTCTAAGGTCTCTAAAAAAGGGCAGCCAGAAATGAGCTGAGCAAGCCCTGAGGTGCTGTCTCCTGACAAAGGTGACTCTGAATCAGGCTTGTAATTCTGGAGCCCCACACGTGGAGCTTTCTTTAACCCCAGGAACAACGGAGAGGGAGATGTGTTAATTGTAGTTGTGTGATGGGTATTTAAGCCATCTAACAGAGCACAGGCAGGCAGAGTGAGAGCACGCAGGTGTGTGAATCTGGCCAAGCTAGCACACAGGTGTGTTTCTCCACCCACCCCGGGTGAGTTTTCATGATGATAGTGTGTGTGCATCAGATTCAGATGTTTAATGTTTGAACAACAGACTGCCAACTGGCTTATGGTCCCAGGAACCAGATGATCTTCCACACTCCTACACTCTGAGTAAAGGACTTGGTTGATCCCGCTGAGGTTAATGCTGATCAGCTGTGTAGCATCTCTGACACCTCCCTCCAGCAGCGACTGAAACACCTGTGGCCATAATGCTGGACAGCGGCTGAAGCTGAGGTGTTTTGGACTGTTTCCCTGCAGAGCTCTCTTTAGTGACAATGAATCAAGCCAGGAGCGAGGAAGCTGCAGAGCCTCCAGGTCACCTTGTTGACCCAAGCTCTGGGCCAGTGAAGGAGCAGCAGGCCAGTGAGCAGGGTTTGGGCCAGGAATCGACACAATAAACACTTGGAGGCGCTTTGGAACATGAACACTGAATACAGCCAGGTAGAGGAGGAGCAATGTCTGGTTTACCTAAGGCCATCAATACACAGATATAGTAGTTACTGACAGTACTACAGGGTATATTGCAAATACATGGAATAAGTTTCATATACATACACACTGCAGACAAACTCACTTCTCCAGGGGCCAACCTGGCAGTGAACTTCTCCAGCTGCTGGTAATGTGGCACACTGCTCTGACCCACCATTAACTGACAGGAAACACCGACACCCTCTCTGGTCACATCTGAGATGTCAAACTGCAGCATCAGCCTGCAGCACAAACACGAACAGAAACACACCTTCCGCACTGAAGCAGTAAAACAGCTTTGTACTCAGTTAATATCTTGTACAGCAAAAACAATGTGAATGCACACACCTGTCATGAAGTGCTGCTAAACTCTGCTAATGGACCAAATGCTTTAAGATGGCTGTTTTCAGACCTGACAGAATCACCAGTCAAACAGCACTACGTGAGCAAATGAAGCATTTTATCCAGTCTAGTGCCATAGTTCTTGGGTGGCTACATCATTTTGTCCAGGCTGAAATATCTGAGAAACTACTAGATGGACTGCCATGAAATTTTGTGTAGACATTGATGGCTCTCTGAGGATAAATCCTACTGATTTGGGTGATCTCTGACTTTTCACCTAAACACCATGAGGTTGACACCTCTAGATTTTAAAGAAGTTGCTCCACATTGACTGGATGGATTGACATGAAATTTGGTACGGATATTCACATCCCATCAGGGTGGACTGTAATAACTCTGGGGCTACCTTATCTTTCCATCTAGTGCTGTCAACAGGTCTAATTTTTTTAATTTATGACCAAATTTCTACATGAAACAATTTACACTCCCATCAGCCTCAGGTGTACTTTGTTTTTATTGTCAATTAGCAAATGTTAGCATGCAAACATGCTAAATAAAGACATGTTAGCATTTACCTCCGGCTAACCACTGTGCCTACATACAGCCTAACACAGCCCCTAGATTGGCTGTCAATTGTAGTTCTAGGTGTTGTTGGTAAAAACTGGTGCAAATGGATCTTTCATTATTCTGCTCATTTTTAGGAATTTGACATTTCTATGGACACAAGGTGCCTAAATGCAACAGTCTTATTAAAATGGATAACAGTAAATATAGCGCAGTGTGTGTCAAAAAACAAGTGTGTATTCTGAAAACAAGTCTCACGTGAAATGTGACAGTTTCTTACTTGCGGAGTTGAGCACAGCATGGGACCACACCATAACTTGGCGTCAACAGCGTCTGTCTGAGTTCTGACAAGCGGCTCAGTGAATCCACTGCCTCTGAACTAAGCTGAGCTGAGTTAAAGCCCGGCGTCACATCAAAAGCAAGTGATCTGAGTAAGGAGAGGGAGGAGAGAAGACGGGACAAACGGAGGGAAGTGAGGTGACAGCCAGTGACATCAAGGTGAGTCACTGCCCTGCAGCGAGCCAGATGTTCCATGGTCGAGCCAGAGAGCCAGTAGCAGCCATTCAAGCTGAGAGACTGCACATGATTGGCTAGCTGCTTCAATATGCGCCGCACCTGTAAGTCATCAGCCTGAAGGGAAACATAAGTCAGATTTTACTAAATGTCTCCATCTGTTAATATACATGTATTCAAAGTCCTGAAAAAGTTCAAATTGACTATTATTATTTTACCAGATATTCCTCAGACAGGCTGATGTTTGTGAGCAGTGTCTTATCGTGGCATAGTGTGTGTAACTTGTGGCAGACATTTGCCACATTCAGCAGCAGGTCACACACTGGAACATGGCGGAGAATGCACAGCAGGATCTCATCGGACAAATCTGACATTCCCACTGACATAGAAGACATTGTGTCCTCATCACATAGAGCCTGAGACAGATGACAAACAGTGTAATGGTTAGATTTAGCAAAAGTAAACACTTTTTAGTCATTACTGCAGTAATGACCTTGGCATCTCTTACACTAGATACATCTCATTTATCACCTACAGTTGCAGCATTATTAAATGATTTATTAAAACCATAGTTTTATTATGATTTGGTAACATTCAGTACTACACTACAAGGTTTTACAAAACACTGCTTCCACAGTATCAATTTTCAACGTGCTGCTACATTTTAGGTTGTGAAAATACAAATAATTAGAAAGTAAATATAATGTTTCAATGATAGTATAACTTTTTATATCCTGATACAAGACACTTAATAGCAATGTAAAACTGTTAAACGTGCTTCCATTAGTAGTATCGCCAGAAAATGTGTCTCTGTCTGACAACTTAACTATAAATTAATATTTATGTGTATTAGCAGGCCTGACAAAGAGACAGTTTATCAATTCCTACTGACCAAACGTGGCTGAAAAAGTTGGCGTTAAATGAAATTTGGGTGAAGCCTGGTCTAATGTTATTTAGCTTTAACATTAGCTAGTTCCGTTGCTCTCATCAGCGTTACCCTTAAGAAAATAATAGTATGCTGTTAAGGTGTTTCGGTTCACCAACCTGCACAATTTGTCGATCCATGTTATCAGAAGTCCCACTCATAGTTAGCGGGACTTTAAATATTCATCCAGCCAGCGAGCAGTACATGCTGAGACAAACCTGCTTTTACATTGAAACAGCATCAAAAGCAGCCGTTGACAGGACGGAAGACGTTTGCTGTTGCACAATGACGGAGGTTTTTCAGTGACGGACATATTTTCGTCCGGTCCCGTTCGGTTCAGCTGTTTTTGTTTTGCTTTTCTTTTTCCTTGAATGAAATTACCATGTCTCCGAGCAAAGTGAAAAACGTCTTAAGTGCCAAAAAATAGAGAAGGTCCATGAATATGGAAAAAGAACAGAAGAGGAGCATTAAGTACACTATAGCTATAGTTCCCATATCCCAGGCTATTTAAAACATACAGCGATTTGTTTAAAAGGAGATAGGTAAAAAGAACATCGACAAATTGTGCGCATACTCCTGTGACATAAAAGTAATATTTTCAACATTAATGGATTTTTTATTGCTGCAAGATTACAATGCAGACTCTGAAACGTTTTTTGTATTGTAAGATGCAGGTCTAATACATTGGTGCTTTATTTTGATTTGATTTATTCTTTCAAACATGCAGAACAAATGACATCAACACACACATAATTACACAAATCCAACCAATGCTAATCCAGAATCAGTTTGCTTATACCTAGTACATGCTTGAATGGAGTAGGAAGAAGTCAGACTTATCCAGTCCTACCCCATAACATCATCTAATACAAAAAATTTCATGCATCATTGGCTGCAAGCAGTATCTCTACATAGGTAATTTTCTTCTTCACCAAACAAGTAATACACAGAAAATTTAAAGAGTGTTTCCTTCATGCATTCTTGATTAAATCTCGTATTCTTGCATATATCTTGAATGACACATACATTTATATTTATATTTAAACTCCTCAATTATAGTACTGTTCTTCATGTCTACACTTAAATTATTCCATAATTTGACCCCACTTATGGAAATACAAAATCTTTTTTTGGTTGTACGTATAGCATGAACTTTTAGATTTAACTGACCCCTTAAATTATATCCCCCTTCCCTTTCATCAAATAACTTTTGGATTCCACCAGGTAATAAGTCGTTCCTGGCTTTATACATAAACACAGCGGTCTTATATTCCACTAAATCAAAGAATTTTAACAATTTAGACTGTATGAAA